GGACACCCGGGGTCCCCTGTGACTGAATGCCAAGCTGGGTGGGATGTGGGGGGGAGCCAGAAGTGGGCCTTAAGTACTTCCAGTCCACTTCCGGGTTCACCGCCAAGCACATGGAGGGCCCCCTGCACTCCTGTGGGATGCTCCATCCACCCCACCATCACAGCCCCACCATCACAAGCCGCACTGGTATCTGAGGTATGTAGAAAAAACTTTTAAAGCTGTGTCTGTGTCAGAATTGCTGATTCTCCAAATCAGCATCGAATCTTCAGATTCGGGTTCAGCCAAATCGAATCAGGGACAGTGATCCGAATCAACTAATCGAATCACTGTCCCTGAGTCGGGCCGAATCTGAATCGAATAGGGCCCACTTCGCACACCCCTACTTCCAGGCATACTTCAAAGGACAATAGGGGTTTTGGAGAAGGATGAAAAGTTTGCCTGGCACAAGGCAAAGATAGAAAACAGCATTCTTAGGGGCAGCAGGCAAGCAGCATCCTTTTAACGATTGTTTAGGTGAGACTCTTGTCTTATGGACAGAGCACTGCTATGGGAGTTCTTGCTTCTATTCTTAGCTTTGCTGTTGGCCTCTGAAACGATCTTCTCTTCACTTCGCTTCAAATCACTTCACTTCTCTCACCTCGGTTTCTCCGTATGTACATGGGAATGATGATACTAGGCTCTTCAATAAAGCATTTTGGAATCTACTTGCAAAAGAAGTTGGTGGTATTATTAATAGGTGAAGATGCTACAGTCTGGTTTGGCTTCATTTGTAATTGCCAGATCCACACCCCCCACCCCCCGGGGTGTTCAGTCGCTCCGGCTAGGGACAGACATTACACATAAACCAGTTTAAGTGATCAGAAACTGGTTTAGACCTGTAATAGAACAGATGTTCAGTGCACATAAACCAGTTTGAAAATGGCTGAAACCGTTTTGAGATAAACCTGGTTGTATGTAGTATCAGACTTAACTGATTTGAGTTGCACCGGTTTATGCAATGTCTGTCCCAGACCCTTTGCTGGTTTAAATTAAATCAGACTCCCCCAGCATCCCAGCAAGCTCTCTGGGCTGGGCGAGGCTCTCTGCTCCACAGCAGGGCTGACCCCTCCTCTCCCTCTCCCTCTCCCTCTCCCTCTGTCTTACACAGACACCACAGCATTAGCTAGCAGACCACATCCTGGCTACAGTCTGTCCTGTGGCAGACAAGACAAAGGGAGAATCAGTAAGTAGCTGGTAATGTCCCTCTGTTGGTTTCTTAATTGGGTGATAAACACTGAGTTTGGGATGATAAACACTGTTATCAATTCCCTGCTGGGCTGCTTGCAGGGGGGGGGGCAGGGGACCCCTCCCTAATCACAGCATCCTACCAGGGTCTGGTCACGCCCTGCTCAGCTTAGCATTGTGAAAGGGAAGGGAAGGCTGCTGTAGCACCCCAGCCCCGGCTTCTAGCCTGAGCCACTGTAGGCATGTGCCTGCATGTCTGGGATGTCTATTTGGTTACAGACTGATTTAGCCCAGCCAGGTTAGACTAACCTGCAAAGATTGAATCAATTCAGGCTCAGACTTTTTGACTGTCTGTCCCTAGCCTCAGAGCCAAGGACTCTGACAAAGGTCTGTCATCTGCCGTGTCTGAGTTCTGGGTGAGCAGCATCGTGTAACATGAACTGCTGTACAACGTAGCTGCTGAGTCTGACTCCTGGCAAAGAAGCTTTATAGGCACGGTGCCCCGCAGCCTAGAACTTTTTACAAACATCTCATCTTTTATTATTCAGTTGAAATAAGCAGGTGTCAGTGGCTGCAGTTAAGAGGTGCCAGGGTTTTGCTATGGCTTTTTTCTTTTTTAATTGTATGCTTTTTTTGCTGTTATTTTTTCCTCTGCTTGAAGTGCTTGGATAGGCCAGAGTCAGAGAAGCCCACCTTGGAGCAGTGTCTAGAGATGACAATATACCGCAACTGTTTATCAGGCTTGTTCAGGAACTGAGGAGAAATCTAGCAGATGGAGTGGTGTTCAGTAGGCAGAGCATGGAAAAATGGCTTTGCTCCTGATTCTGCCGCTGAGTGACACTGGGCAATGATTACAGTAGAAAATATTACAGCTTTGGGCCTTATTTCCCTTCTCTGAAATCAGTAGAGCACTCGCCTAATGTCATAAGGGTGCCGAGAAGCTTTATTGATATTCATAAATGATGTTCTTGCTTTCAGATATAAGGGGCTCTGCAATAGTTCAGTGGTCAAGCTTAGCTTTTTCCTAGGTATGCCTTAATTGGCTGGTCTTACCACAGTATTCCTGAGACATAACCAAATGTCATGGTAACGTGATTTAATTGCACAGACACCTGTCATGCTAGAAATGCTGTTTAGCATTATGGCTCACTGTAAATGGTTCAATCCTGCTTTTGTTTACACTAGACAGTAATTCTGTGTTTAAAGCCAAAACATTGAATAAAGCTATATTTGTGTAATCTAACCCAATCTACAAAAATCAGAATGGGTTCTCAAGTTCCATGTGAAAAAGCAAGCCTCCAAATTTTACACGGAATAAGCTGAGCGATCATACTGATCATGTATTGCGATTTGCAGGATGTTAAGAACACAATCTCTAAAGGTACTGTGTATAGTAAAGGCATCTGTTTGTGCTCCCGTTAACTTAATGGCAGAAGTCCTATTCATTTCAGTGGCAATAAGAAAGAGCTCATACATCTAACAATGTTAATGAATAGAAACATTAAGTTTAAAAACACTCCATGTATGCATTGTTGGCATTGGTCAGAACAACTAGCTTGAATTAATGTAACGGTTTTCTTCAGTGTTAATTCATTTGCATGCAGCAGTGTTTTATCGCTCCTAGCAAAAAGGGTGTTCATTTTGTGTTCTTTATTGTCACTGCAGCTATGAAGTTGTTATACAAAGCATTTGATGATTTTCTTGTCTTCTGGATCAGGATTGCTCCTGCCAGTTGTAGGTAAATATATTTGCAAATTTTGCATGGGGCAGACATCCACTCTGGGAATTTTCATCCCATGTGGTTAAAGTTTATTAAAGTTTTAGAAGCGATGGAAGACAGTGTCTTCTAATGGAAAGTACTAGGCAATCCTAACTATAGGGATTGCTACCTGTGTAGTCCAAATAACAAGACATCTGGTTTTTGGTTTTTTTCATGCCCCTCTTTTTATACCCTGGGCCAACATAGGTTTGTCTTCCACCCCATCTCCAATCTTTTGAAGTTTTTAATCAAACAGTTTTATGACTAGGAAAGGGTGGACTTCCTTTCCATAGCCTCTCGGGAATATCTAATGGATTTTTCTTTCTTCCTTCTGGATCTGTACCTCAGCACTCCTGTATTCAGAGGATGCCAGCTCTTCTGACTTCCTTGATCTCTGGTGTCTGGAACATCCTGTTACTTTAAACAGAGAGTTCTCCTAATTAATGTAGCTTTTAAACTGATGCTTTCATCTGATTGGCAATCAAATGAAGCACAAGTAGGGTGCCTAGGGCTCCTGGAGATGACTTTTCTCACCCTCGTGTTTTTTGTTTAGGCCCTGCCTTTCTCCACATAACATTTTAATCCGACCCCAACGTGACTCTGTATAGTTCAGGAAGAACATAAGTAGCACCTTGCTCTGTAGTTCCCCATATGGCACAGTGAGCAAAGAAAAGCCTGTGCCAACTGTGGATCCAATTATAGCTTAGGAAGGTTGCTCCATTATTGCATTTGAAGCCATAATTAAATTTGCTAACAGTGAAGAGGTGCCAAAGCTGCCATTTCTTTGGAATGTGGGACATCTGGTTAGTGCTAATACTAGCGCGGTATTTGAGGTACCTCAAAACTTACGTCAGAATATGCTGCTTTCTTTTTTTTCCAAATCTTCCCATCAGTAGGTTGGCTCTTTTTTTCTTTTCTTTTTTCTTTTTTTTTTCTTTTTTATTTCTTTTTGGGAGGTTTTGCAATTATTTTTTTTTTGTAATTTTTGCTAATGAAATGCTATAGAGCCATGTATCTTGTGGGGACTCATGCTACTCTTATTAATAAAGGTGCAAATGCCAAGGACATGGATGCGAGTCCTCTGAGCCACTGAGGATTTAGTTTGTACATCAGATTATTTACCTTTTACAAGCAAAATGCATTAGATATTTGGGGACAAATTGAGTGTTGACTTAATGGCCATGTGATCCATTGATTTCAGTGGGATGGCAGGAGATGCAATTCTCTGCTGGATTCAGCGTATTTGTGATCTTGATACTGATGTTACTGGGGGGGGCGGGAAATGGTATGGAGCCACGTTCATGGTGCTGAGCAAATCATGACCCCCTCTGATGCCATTTTGAACAGTGAAATAGGCTGTCACTCTCCCTTTTTGCACCCTTATTGCACACCTCCCTCCTCCATATAGTTGGCTGCTTCTCTGTGGCTGTTTAGACTCAGAAATATTGGCTCTTAAAGTGATAGGTGATTGACCTAGAGGAATAGCAAAGTGCACAGGGAAGCCTGATGCACTGCAAACAGTCAAGAAGGGGGACCTACTTAAATTGCAGTTTTGCGATTTTCTTAGAAACTGTGAAAAAAATCGGTGTCCCCAATCACCATGAAAAATTATGTTTGCTGTGATCTTGTGCAGAATCACTCAAAAAAAAAAAAAAGAGGCAGCTTATTGGGATGCAAAGAAAGTACAGTAATCCCTGCAGCCATAGAGCATGTGGTTTGAGAGAGAGCTACTGAGAGCCAGAGCTAGTGATGTAGACTCAGTGAAGGCGCCAGTCCAGAAGGCGAAAGGGTTTATGATGATGATATTAGTTACTATTCATATTATGTGTAAACTTATATTCATTATATCTTTCAATTTGAACTTGAATGTAATACTTATAATAATGCAGTAATTTATTTGATATTTCCGTGGGCTCTGCTATTTAATTATGCAGCAATGTTTGCCTCTCAGCCAATCAGCACCAGGGGGCAGGGCCACCGAGACCCCTCCGCCAATTAGCAGTGAGGGGGTGCTCGCCGTGAAAAGACTGAAATCGATTCTGCGTGCTGTGAGTGACCCACGAAAATCTCTCCGTCTTGCTGCAATTTAGGTAGGTCCCTATTCATGAACTACTGTCCCTATCATTAATTTATAACCTGGTAATGCAAAATACCCAGGGAGCAGGTTTATTTAGGAGGACAGTAAGACTTAAGTAAAATGCCCCCAGAGTACTGCAGAATTTGAGTACGAGTGATGTACTCAACCTTTTGTTCCCTAGATACCAAGTGACTGAAAGAAGCAGCACTGGAAAATAAATTAAATCCACATTTTAATTTCCACATTTTGTTCCAGCAGCATTTGAGAAACGTGGAAGCTTAGGGCTTGAAGATCTGGCCTATAATCATGCCATTGACTTCCAAATGAGAAATGGTAAGATGCAATGTAATTCGACTTATAATAATGCATGCATGCTTCATACTTATAGAGCACTTTCCAACTGCATTTTACCTCGCATAGAAAGTTATGACTTAAGACGTGGGAGACTAAGAGACTGTAGCACAGATGCATTTATCAGTACCTTTAAGCATTCATTTGGCTGGTAGCCTGGAGTTTTAAAATGTCATGTCTAGCTGTTTGGAGGGCTGTTTTAGAAGCCAAGCTTATGTGATGCTTTTCCACTGACTCGCTGAGATTTTAGGCTGTCTCATTGTGTTGATCGGGTGAACAAACATATGAGTTACCTACAAAGGTATCGTGAGCAGAGGTGGTTGAATGGTTTTCGCTGAATTTTGGCTTTGTACGTCATTCACAAACGTGTCTGTTCTTTACCTCTCTCCTCAGTACCACTAGAATTACGCATACCCTTAGTCCGCAGTCCCCCCACACTGCTGTCCCCTTTCCTCAGCTTGGGAATGGCTTGCCAAGGTCATGCTTGCAGACCAGGATGAAGCGGGGAGTTCAGCCTGGGTCTCTTGAGTCCTTACCTTGTGCCTTGCCTGTTGTTTCATCCTTCCATCCATGCACAAGTGATCACACGCAGGCCTGTGATTTCTCTCTTTTTATCCCATCAGTACCTTTTGAGGTAACAAACCCCAATATATTTTTGCTATTCTGTGTTACCTTTATATCGATTTTAGGGACTTAGATCCTGGGAGATTTTTTCAGAAGAAAAACGCTACCTATTTTCTTCTTGGTAATGTCCTCCTCTTCACCTAAGTGAGCTCATCTGGATTTACAACACTTTTCAGTTGACCTTTTACTTAACTTTGCTTCCCGCCCCCTCCACCTTGTTCTCTTAGTAAACTCCTTCCTCGGAGCTCAGGCATAAAATAGAGACTTTCAGTTGCATTGATCACAAATTGAAAACCAGCCCATCTGCTACTGCAGCAAACCAGTAGATGAGCCCTTTCTCTTCTTGCTGTAGCTGACTTATTTTGGTGTGTTCCTACTGGATTGGTTTGAAAGTCTGCATGAGATCTTTTTAAGTTCTTTCTTTTGGGACATGAATGTATGTTCCTTCCCAAGCAAAGGTAGTGTCCAGGGGAGGGGGGGGTCAATTGGCATGTGCTGTTTTAATTGTTAACCAGGATTTTATTCCAATCGGGAATTATTATGTGGTGAGGACAGCTTCGATATTATTTGTAACGGATGGAAATCATCTTGCCATTGTTAAAGCCCTGAATACGTTGGTTATATTCTTATCTTCAAAACAGAAACTGTCACAGGGGATATTTGTCATCATCCTACTGAAAAGCAATAGAAAATCCACCAGTAGTGCTGCTTTATCTTTCATTTTGAGTGTCCCCGGTCAATAGCGAAACCTTGGGATGAACTTGCTGATGAACATATTGCAGGGAGCGTACTTGTGTTGCATCTGTTGTGGAAAGAGCTGCAAAAATTACAACTTGATCTTAATAATTGTGTCTCATCCATGTAAGTTTGGGATGTTCACGGAATTTAATTAGATTCCTAAACAACTTATATCCTTGAAAGGAGGTCTAGTATTGTGCTATGCATGCATCCAGTCCACTGAGAGCAGCCAACATGGCCTTCAGCTGGTCTCTTCTTCCAAATGCCTGACTAAATTGGTCATTAATCCTTTTAGAGATGCTTTTTAACCTCTTTCCACCCCACCTCAATGGTGCAGAGTAGAAGCCACTGTTTCTTCTATAGAGCACTAGTACTGAACCCCTTCCTCCCCCAAACCTTATAGCAACAAAGTCTTTTCTTACTAATAATTCTCTGCATTCCCAGAGCATCTTTTTTATTTAAGGATCCTCAAGGTGCTTACAATCATGTCACAATATAGTGCTATAGGTATTATCTGTTTTACAACACATGGGGGACACAAAAAAATTCCTTAAGAAGGCATCTTGGTTGGCATTACGGATGGTACTAATACAAATGGTATTTATCACTTCTAATTTCATGGACTTCTGAAGAACCATTGTAATTCTCCTGAATTCCTTTGCCTAGCCTTAAATGATTCTGTATATGTTCTTGTTTCACTGTTACCTCTCTTCTGTTTCCAGCAGAGGCTTTATATCTTGTTCTTAAATGTAGCTTTAAGCTACTACACACTAGATGGCACCTCAGACAAGCTGTGCGACACTGTTGATGCAGGTGTGCTAGTGAATGCCCAATCATCTGTTACTTGGCAAGCAAAGAGAATCCAAGCATCCCTGGTACGGTAGAGATCAGCCGTTCCCGATCTCTTCACAGAGACAACCCTGCTTCTGTTGAGTGTCTGAATGACGTGTGCATTTCAATGGGGATGCATCCCTACCGTGGGACTTTGCTACTGCAGATGTTTGAACCAATGTTGCCACCGGCATGTGATAATTCATGGTAGGAAAAGCCCTACACTTAACTCAATGTCATTCCTTTGCCTATCCACAAGGAAATATATTATTTTTATATATAAAGAGCAGTGGCATATAAGAAAGTTGTACTTGCTGCAAGGAACTTACAGGGTAGTCTCGATGTAAGTAGAACTGTTCAGATCCATACCGCTTACCAGGAACCTGGATACAAGGCTGACTCTTGCCATGATC